ACGGTTGAGGAGAACGAAGAGGTTGTTGCCTATGCTCTCTCTCGCCGACCAAACGTCAAGCTTGTCGAGACCGGCCTTCCGTTCGGAAAGGAGGGTTTCACGTCTTATATGGGCAAGTCCTTCGACCAGTCCCTCAAACTCACCCGTCGCTACTACCCTCATACCTATAACGTGGACGGTTTCTTCGTTGCCAAGTTCAAGAAGATTGGCCTCACACCCGCCAACGCCGTCCTCGCTCCCGCGAGGAAGAGGAATGTGGGAAGCTCCTCGAATGCCGCTGCCGATACCGAGGTTGTGGACAAGACCCCAATCCGGGACGAGGAGAAGGAGGCCAACGAGAAGGACGACTTCGCCGACTTCGACGAGGAGGCGGATAAGGAACTTATTGAGAGGGCCAAGAGGAACGCCATGCGCAGACGGGGCCTGGACCCCAGGGCGCTCAACCGGAAGAAGAGCACGGAGGGGCTGAACGGAAAGAAGGCTGATGGCGAGAAGAAGGACGAAGAGACCAAGGTGCAAGAGGAGCAGAAGGTCGTGAGCGAGGAGAAGGTGCAGGCCGAGGAGGTGGAGAAGAAGGAGGTCAAGCCGGAGAAGAAGCTCAAGAGCAAGAAGTCCAAGGATGAGCTCAAGGGCAAGAAGGAGAAGAAGGCCAAGGCATGAATGAGGGTGTGGTCATAGTGGGCATATGTGGATTCAGCTACAATACCTTAAGATGTTACGGCGTTCTGGTCTCGGGTAGAAATGGGATACGTTTTTCACCAGCAATTGAGTGTTACTGCCTGCTTGCTTGTTCTACTGCAAATCTGTTGCGTCGTGACATGTTCTTCTTGGACTTGACCAGATGAACAAGACCATGTCAACTTGTTCCAAGAACGTATCTCAAGGTTCCATAGCGGTGAGTGACGTCGGGGAAAGATTTGGGACATTCAGCTGAGACAGACCCTGTACCAATTTCCCACATCCTAGGACTCAAGCTCGTTCAAATGGGCATGTCCAGTTGCCTGGTCATTAGTGCTCTCCGCCTGAGGCGAATGCTAGTGGACAGCTTAAGCTTATGAGTGAGCCCGCTCTGTCGTTGGCGGTGATAGTGGGTCCCGGACGTAAACCTCGAACAAACACGAGTACTTTGGTAGACAAGCGATATCAAGCACCAACAACACATCTACCCTCATCACGCTGACCAGACTGTGACGAGGAGGGACTCGCGCAAGCTAGAGCTCTCTTTGGTAGCGGTCACAACCAACCGCCAAGATCTCACAAGCTGTCGCATGCAGCAGATTGGCTTGCAACAACGATGTGTCCATCGGCGCCATTAATCCTGGCAGATCCAACACAATGATGTCAAGCGATCCGGTATTGGAGGTGTGTTTCGCGGGGCTATAACCTTGAAGGCGATCGCCGGGCGTGGTTGCCATGTCATTAGATTAAGCCTAGAGGCAAGACGGCCCGGCTGTTGCTAGTTGCTACACAAGCGATCAACTACGTGCGTCAGCGCCACAAGAACCTCCAGTCCACTAGGATCTAGCAAGTGTCGGATCTTACCTCCCCCCTCGGCCATTTAAGGCAACGCTCGTTGAGGCGGGTTTCTTCATCCACGACTGGCATCTTGACCTAAGGCGGCATGGCTGGCGCGATGGCACAGCACCCTGATTTGGCACCGAACATCGATCGGTTCAGGGCGCCGAACCAAGGATATGTACCCTACAGATTTGGCCAAATGCCGGAAGTTTGGCGGATGATCTACCTCAGACAAGCCTGCCGAGCAGGGGGGACGTAGCGTCAGTCGACCATCGCCTCGGAATAGCACCGCCGCAGAATTACCGCTTTGGGCCATGAGAGTTTTGACTTCCACTGCTTGATATGGAAGTTGTGGGGAGAGACATTTTGCTTGGGAATCAAGGAAATGTGAACTGGAATTGAAGATGGGTCATATAACAGGAGAGTCAAGGCCAGGCAGAGGGTCGCTGGCCACTGCAAGCACACTGTATGAGCTTTTGCTGCGCTGTGAGTAGTGATATCGACCATGCAACTACGTGTAGCCGTCTTCTTGGCGGCGGCGACCTTGGTTCAATCTGATCAGGGAGCCTGGCAACAGTGTGGAGGTATAGGATGGTCTGGAGACACGACATGTGTTGGCGGATACGCTTGCGTCAAGTCGAACGACTACTATTCGCAGTGCATACCAGGTAGTCAGGAACAGACTTCAGCATGTGGGTACTACGGGACAATCACGTACGAACACACACACTTTGACTAACATCGAGCAGCTACATTGACAACATCAACATCCTCCGCGGCAGCACCCAGTGACACCGGAGGACCATTCGAGCCAGACGTGCCCCACGCTGTGGGGTCTTGGGCAGCAGCATACTCCCAGGCAAGCACTGCCATAGCCAAGATATCCCAGCAGGACAAGGTCAACATCGTCTCTGGTGTCGGATGGAACAAGGGACCATGCGTCGGCAATACCAGCCCCGTTGGCTCGATCGGCTATCCCCAGCTATGTCTGCAAGATGGACCCCTCGGCGTCCGTTACGGTAGCAGCGTGACAGCATTCACTCCGGGTATCCAGGCCGCCGCTACCTGGGATGTTGACCTCATGCGACAGCGTGGACAGTATATGGGTGCTGAAGCCAAGGGCTGTGGTGTCCATGTCCTACTTGGACCGGTGGGTGGGCCACTGGGCAAGCTCCCGCAGGGTGGCCGTAACTGGGAGGGATTTGGTCCGGATCCGTACCTGACTGGTGTCGGTATGGCTGTCACGACGGAGGGCATGCAGTCATCCGGCATCCAGGCATGTGCCAAGCACTACATCGGCAACGAGCAGGAACTGAACCGAGATTCCATGACTTCCAATATCGACGACAGAACGATGCATGAGCTCTACCTCTGGCCGTTTGCTGATGCGGTACACTCTAACGTGGCTTCCGTGATGTGTAGCTACAACAAGCTGAATGGCACTTGGGCCTGCGAAGATGATAAGGTTCTGAATGGCCTCTTGAAAAAGGAGCTGGGGTTTCAAGGCTATGTCATGAGCGACTGGAATGCCCAACACACCACCACGGGCAGTGCCAACGGTGGAATGGATATGACCATGCCGGGTAGTGACTACAATGGCAGGACCGTCCTCTGGGGCCCTCAGCTCAACAGCGCCGTCAACAGTGGACAAATCTCCAAGGCTCGGCTGGATGATATGGCCAAGCGGGTGCTGGCAGCATGGTATCTCACCGGCCAGGACTCGGGTTTTCCTGCTATCAACCTCAAAGCCAATGTTCAGGGTAATCACAAGGATAACGTGCGGGCTGTTGCCAGAGACGGCATTGTTCTCCTGAAGAACACCGGGGTTCTGCCTCTGAAGAAACCGGGCAAGATTGCACTGATCGGATCTGCGGCGGTGAAGAACCCAAAGGGAATCAACTCATGCACCGATCGTGGGTGCAACACTGGTGCCCTCGGTATGGGCTGGGGTTCTGGAACGGCAGATTATCCTTACTTCATCGCCCCAGCTGATGCCATCAAGGCTAGGGCGCAGACGGATGGGACTACAGTTAGCCTGCAGGACAACGACAACACCGGCTCTGTTTCCAGCACTGCCTCTGGAGCTGATGTTGCTCTTGTTTTCATCACCTCAGACTCGGGTGAGGGCTACATCACCGTCGAGGGAGTCGCAGGTGACAGGAACAACCTCGACCCATGGCACTCGGGCAATGAGCTTGTCCAGGCCGTCGCAAATGTCAACAAGAACGTCATTGTCGTCGTCCATAGCGTGGGCCCCATCATCCTCGAGACCATCCTTGCCCTTCCCAACGTCCAAGCCATTGTCTGGGCCGGTCTGCCCAGCTCCGAAAGCGGTAATGCGCTGGTCGACATCCTCTATGGCTCCACCTCACCGTCCGGCAAGCTACCCTACACCATCGCCAAGGCAGCCGGCGACTACGGAACCAGTCAACAGCGCGGAGACGACAACTACTCCGAGGGCCTGTATATTGACTACCGCCACTTTGACAAAGCCAATATATCTCCCCGCTACGAGTTCGGTTTCGGCCTCTGTAAGTCTCGCCCCTTCCCTTTCCATATCTAATCACTGATCCCCTTCCCAGCTTACACAAACTTCACCTACTCCTCCCTCACCGCAACCAGCACTGCCATATCCGGTCCCGCAACAGGCTCCGTCATCCCCGGCGGCAGAGCAGATCTCTTCGACGCCGTAGCCACCGTAACAGCAACCATAACCAACTCAGGCAGCGTCAAGGGCGCTGAGGTAGCCCAGCTGTACATCGGCTTGCCGGCTTCCGCTCCTGCTGCTCCACCCAAACAGCTACGTGGTTTCACTAAGTTGAATCTTGCTCCCGGGGCGACTGGCACGGCGACGTTCAATCTGAGGCGGAAGGATCTAAGTTATTGGGATGTGGGCAGACAGAACTGGGTTGTTCCGAGTGGGAGCTTTGCCGTCAGTGTCGGGGCTAGTTCGAGGGATTTGAGACTCACTGGAACAATCACTGTTGCCTGAACGCGTGGTCTATGGTTTGAGGGGTCAGCGGGGGGAGGGGCAGGGAGGAGGGGGAAATCACCAAGCCCTGGCACGCATCTGCGGGTACGGAGCTAGCCATATAGCCAAGCCCCTTTTCTCGCACCCTTAAGCTAGATTCCTACCATGGCTCTCAACAACCAGCCCGCTTAGCTCAGTGGTAGAGCGTGTCAAGAGTACCGTCCCCTAAGAATGCCTTCCCGTGTCCCTAGAAACAGTATCTCTAAATGCCAAGGTCATCAGTTCGAGTCTGATAGCGGGTAGTTTCTTTTTTCCTGCTCGAGACACTGGCGTAATGTATCCATCTGTCTCTTGTCTATTTATGCTTGGTCCCAGCTAGTCATCGGCATAGCACAGACATTCACTTATGCACCAGCCAGCAGTTACACAGCAAAGACACTCGCTTACTCACCAGCCAAGCCTGCTCCTTCTGCACTCTTAACCTTCCTCTCTACCTAGCATTACAACAACCGCCCGCTTGGCTCAGTGGTAAGAGCGTGTCTGCAGTGCCGTCTCCTAGAAATTCCTTAGAACAGCGTCTGTCAATGGCAAGATCATCAGTTCGACTCTGATAGCGGGTAGTTTCCTTTTTTGCCTTTCTTTTGTTCCTTCCGCCCACCGACTCTGCCAATGTGTTGCACCTGTCTTTTCCATGTCTGGCCGGCCATGCATGAAAAACGTTTGCCACAGACACCAACCCAGACGTCAGCCAAGCAATGCTCGTTCTGCCACCCTTAAGCTTCGTCTCTACCTAGGATTGCAACAAACAGCCCGCTTAGCTTAGTGGTAAAAGCGTGCCTGCAGTGCCGTCTCCTAAGAAAATATCCTTTAGAACAGCATCTGTTAAAGGTGAGATCATCAGTTCGATCCTGATAGTGGGTAGCATTTCTTTTTTTCTTCTTACTCTGACTGATAGAGCACTGTGACACCTTTGTCTCTTGCATGGATTATGTGGTTTATACTAGTCGGTATGGCAAGCATAACTTGTGCACTCGGTTCTCATGAGCTTGGCGTCCTGGGCCGAGCCTGCTACTCAGGGTTCATCGCCACGTCCGTCTCTCAACAACCCAACAGCCCGCTTAGCTCAGTGGTAAGAGCGTGTCTGCAGTGCCGTCCCCTAAGAAATCCTTTCGAACAGCGTCTGTTGAAGGCAGGACATCAGTTCGACTCTGATAGTAGGTAGTCTCCTTTTTGAGCTTTTTAGTCTTTGTCTTAAGGGACACCTTATCCCTAAATAGTAGACACAACACCTACGAGCAGCTGAGCACTAGTTATTATGCTATGGATTCCATACTTTACGGCGCATCTCCCTTAAGATGCCATCATCACGAGACGAGAAAACAAGTGTCTCAAAAGTGTTACGTGTCTTACGTAAGCCAAGGTCTATATAAGCTTAGTAAGTCAAAGCACCCCCTTTTAGACCACCCCTATATTTGGGATACTTCAATATATATTACTACCTAACCTAACCACCGATTATTACTCACCTATTTCTTAGCTAATTTTTATCGCAACGACTTTATTCTTTTAATATACGTTCTTCCTTATATAATACCGTAATATTTAGAATTTGACGTAGAATAAGCTTTAATTACCTTAAAAAAGGGGACCTCCTTACGGGAGGTTATAAAAGAGTTCGGTATACCAAAGAGTATCTTATTATATCGCCGTAACGGTAGCTTTTCGAAAGCCGTTTTGTACTAAACTTAGCAAATACTTAGCTTAGTATAAGAAGGTAACCTTACGGCCTAGGTTCTTACTTAGGGTAACCTAAGTAAGCCGGTAAGCTACGTAACGATACGTAAGCTAACGTAACGAATCCTAACTATTACTAAGAGCGATTATACCTTAGATAAGAGGTGGATTACCGGCTTTCTAAAGCGTAACCCTATTATTCGGACTTAGAAAGCTATTTCTATCGATTCGGCGAGGGTTAACGGTATAACGGTTAAGGTTATTCGGCCTTAGTTCCAAAGGCTACGAATTCTAGCTATCCGTATAATTAGGTAATATGATAAGTAGAATATAAACGAGGCCGGTATAATAGAAGGTATAAGTACTAATAGCTTTATTATAAGAAGCGCCGAGAGTAGGAATTTAGCGAAAAAAACGCTTAGATCGCGTACGTAAACGACTTTCTTAAAGGCTATCTACGCCGATAACCGTTATATCTACCTACTCGTTATTTTTAAAAGAAGGAGTATATAATAATAATAGTTTCTAAGGGATATAACTTAGTATCGAGGCTAATAGTTTAACGCCTTAGCTAACGGCTAGACTAGCGATAAAGCTACGTTAAAATAGCTTAGAACTATCTTTATCCCTTAAACAAAGCTTAATTACTTATCTAAATACCGTCTATTAATCTTAGACGGTTACGGAAGCTACGAGACGGTTAATTTTATATAGGAAGCTTTTAGTAATAAGATCTACTTATTATTTCTACCTCCTTATAGCTCCTACGTCTTTTAGCCGCTCGATTTATCTTATTTCTCGGTTCTAAAATTAGTTTACCGTAAATATATCGGGGAACTAATTTAATAAACCGACTCGACGGTTATAAGTAAAAGGAACTTCCTAATATCTTATCGTAAGATAAGAATCGATACTTTTATAATAAGGAATATCGATATTAGGTAACGGGTAACCGGTTTATAGCTTATAAACGAGACTAAGCCCTTAATAAGCCGACTCCTCGTCGAGAATACGAAGAATCGCCGAAAACGTTAGGATTCCACCCCTAAGCCTAGTTCCTAAGGATACCCTTTAATAAATAGTCCTATTACTAACGTTACCGGTCTTCTTAGCTTAGTATAATCTATATCGTAGAAAACGGTAAAAGTAAGGAAGTATCTAAATAAACTAACCCGTAAAGTTAAGGCTACGTAGATATAGAAGCGCTTATTTAGTAAAGTAGAAAAGGCTTTCGAGGAGAAGGACTATTATCTAGCCTTAACTCTACGCGAAAACGAGGCTTTAAAGACTTAGTTAGAGGCTATAAGGCCTTAGAAACGTAAGAAGGTACGCCTAAATCCGAACACCAAGTTCGCTGATATTAAGGTAATAAGGCGCGCCTAAATAAAGGTAAGGCAGGAAATAGTAGTTAGCGATAAAGAGAGCGAGAGCGAAATATTAGATAGTACCTTAGACTATATCGTTACGGCAAATATAGCGGTATAAATCAAATAGTTACATAGATAGTCATCATTTTGGCGCGGTTCGCATCCCTATCCCAAATATGGGGGTGGTCCAAAAGGGGGTGCTTTGACTTATAGGTACTCTACGGCCACCCAAATAGCATATAAAAGCTGTGTCCTAACTTAGTACCTCAATAACCGCCCACTTAGCTCAGTGGTAGAGCGTGTCAACAGTGCCGTCTCCTAAGAATTTCTTCGCCGGTTCAGCGTCTGTTTAATGACAAGATCATCAGTTCGACTCTGATAGTGGGTAGTTTCCTTTTTGAGATTTTCTTTTGGTATTTGTCTTTAAGGATATACATTACACTATAACAGCGACAAGTTCCGTACCTCATTCACACATCTTGTCCCCAGGATGCTGCTGTCCCGAGAAGAGCAGGTCAGTATCTCCAAGTGGACACCTGGTCTTGAGCGTGGTCTACGTAAGCCAAGGTCTTGGGGCCGGTATTCGCCGGCTACCAAACAGCACGTTTAAGCTGAATCCTTACCTGGTATCTCAACAACCGCCCACTTGGCTCAGTGGTAGAGCGTGTCAAGACTGCCGTCCCCTAAGAATACCTTCCCGTATCCCTAGAACAGCACCTCTATGGCAAGATCATCAGTTCGAATCTGACAGTGGGTAGTTTCCTTTTCTTTTTTTTTCTACGGTGACTAGGACAGTCACGGGAGAACATATGTCCTACTTACACGGTCTCTTCTTCCAATTGCCAGTGTCATAAGGAGAGCATCCATCCGAGGGTCTCCCAGTACATACCTGTCTTCAGCAGGGTCACGTAAGCCAATGCATGTTAATGCATCAATAATGCGGGTCCTCGTCGGCCACCAGACGGTATGCATAAGCTTAATCTCAACCTGGGATCTCAACAACAGCCCGCTTAGCTCAGTGGTAGAGCGTGCCAGCAGTGCCGTCCCTAGGAATATCTTCCCGTATCCCTAGAATAGCACTCCTCTGCTGGCAAGGTCGCCAGTTCGACTCTGGTAGTGGGTATTCTTTTTTCCTTTTTCCTTAGGATGCCACTGCACCTACTGAGCCCCTCTGAACCAGTTAGTAATATCAACATGAACAACACATCCTGGTATGAACAATGACAAAGCAGGTACCATGAAACTCATTTTTACTGCTGTTATTATCCGTCATGACATTGCTTGACCTTTACTATGCGTATGCCGAGTTTGCTATGAGTTATTCTAGTCAAGTGTTCGACGGTATGTCTGCGAGCCACCGGAATCCCGTAATAGTTACTCCAGAGTGTAAGGCACGCATACCCACGGGTCAACCAGCTCAATGTCCGAGATGCATGGTAGAAGCTGCTGTGGTGATGTGTCACAGTCTAGAGCAAGTGCGTCTCTGACCATCTCCCCTCTTGTGCACTTGAGGAAGTTATGCAGCCAAGACCTGGAGGGGCACATATGAACCAGAATGCTCTTTCCCACTCCAACAACAAGCGCAAAGCCCGCTTGGCTCAGTGGTAGAGCGTGTCAGCAGTGCCGTCCCCTAGGAATTCCTTTAGAACAGCGTCTGTTAACGACAAGATCATCAGTTCGACTCTGATAGTGGGTAGTCATCTTTTTGCTTCACTCGACATCACCTCCTTTGCATGGGCATCTCCTTTAGACATGAGCACTCACTTCACGTCTACATTACTAGAGGTTCTTTATTGTGAACATCGTCTCTCGTTGTGGCCCTGGCAGCCACGATCTTAACGTAAGTCCGCCCGAGTCAGCATCTATAACACAATGGGCAAGTCCTCCTTTTGACCAAACAGTCCCACGCCTACCTAGCCTGTAGGCCTCTTATGCTAAGGTCTAAGTTAACGCATATAAACTAGAATCTACCCTCGTCTAGTAATGACCAGCAGCAAGCCCGCTTAGCTTAGTGGTAGAGCGTGTCAGCAGTGCCGTCCCCTAAGAAATCCTTTAGAACAGCGTCTGTTAACGACAAGATCATCAGTTCGACTCTGATAGTGGGTAATACGTTTTGTCCTCGACAGCACTTATACTGTCCAAGTTTCCTTTTGCATGGACAACTCACTTACATGGAAGTAACCAAACTTACTATACCTGATGGCAACCTTATCCCCCGTCATTGTGCTAGCACTAACGCTGTTTTTATGTGTTGGTTATGGTCAGCATCCTTCACACATACTCTCTTCGTTCAGACAGCCCCTATCCTTGCCCAGCCTGCACACCCCTCTTGCCAAGGTCTAAAATCCACGCATATCAACTGGGACTCACCCTCATATCGCAACAACAAGCCCGCTTAGCTCAGTGGTAGAGCGTGCCAGCAGTGCCGTCCCCTAAGAATACCTTTCCGAATCCCTAGAACAGCGTCTGTTAGTGGTGAGGCCATCAGTTCGAGTCTGATAGTGGGTAATTTCTTTTTCTTTGCTCATCCACTTCCTATGTCCTGGCTGAGGTTTGCTTTTTGTCTGGACATCACCTGGATGTTAACGATGTCCGAGAGCACTTTGTCATTAATCTCATCTCCTACTGTAGTCTGGTAGTAGCACTATTCACGTGCGCTGGCCGGAGGCGGGAAGAATGGCCACTCCTCCTTGCCCTAAGCCAGTGTTCTATGCTTGCCCAGCCTGCACACCCCCCCTCGCCAAGGTCTAAATCACCACATATGAGCTCGAACTCTCTTTAGTACAGCAACAACGAGCAGAAGCCCGCTTAGCTCAGTGGTAGAGCGTGTCAGCAGTTCCGTCCCCTAAGAATACCTTCCCGTATCCCTAGAACAGCTCTCCTCTGCTGGCAAGGTCACCAGTTCGACTCTGGTAGTGGGTAATATCTTTTCTTTTATTCACCAGCCTATCTCCCCCACCAGTCTAGGTCATACTTTTGCTTGGACGTTACTTCACATAGGTATTGTTCAAGAATTCCTTCTTGCTACCGTCACCTTCTATCGTAGTGCTGGCAGTGCGTCACCACTTACGTACGTTGGTCGGAGTCGGACATTCCTTCTTTTGCTGGGACAGTGAACGGCCTGTACTTGCTAAGTCCGCAGTCTCCTGCAGCCAAGGCTTGAACCGGCACATATGAACTGAAATACACTCTCACATAGCAAAGCAGCACGAAGCCCACTTGGCTCAGTGGTAGAGCGTGTCAGCAGTGCCGTATCCTAAGAATACCTTCCCGTATCCTAGAACAGCACCTCTCATAGCAAGATCATCAGTTCGAATCTGATAGTGGGTAATATCTTTTTCTTTTTGCTGGACACCCACTTACACCTGCGGAGGGTTCACTTCCTTTTCTTCTCTGTTGCAGCCTTTGCACTTGTCTGACATATTCAATGCCCGCCAAACCAACTATTGACATCGACCTGGTTGGGTTTTGCTGGCGTTGATACATGCCTATCCTTACCGAACACTCCACCCGTGTCCACCCGTAGTCTCCTGCAGCCAAGACCCAACCCAACATATGAACTGAATCCAATCTTTGCACAGTAACAAGAAACACAGAGCCCGCTTAGCTCAGTGGTAGAGCGTCTCAGCATTGCCGTCCCCTAATACCTCCTTAGAACAGCGTGCTTGATGAGAAGAGCATCAGTTCGATCCTGATAGCGGGTGTTCCTTTTTCTTTTGCTCCGATGATACTTACCGACACTGGGCATGTCTTCCTTCCTTGTCCTCTCCTTTAGCAAGTATGCTTAGCGTTTAGTGGCTTGATTAGGCTAGTCACTCCCTGATACTGACCACGTTCCTTTTGTGCTGGTGCACTGTTATGCTTATCCAACGCCCAATCCCGTCTCACCTGCATAAACATCCGCTGCCAAGCCTCAGCCCATCTATTTGACCTGAATCCCACCTTCGTACAGCAAGAGAAGCAAAAAGCCCACTTGGCTCAGTGGTTCAGAGCGTGTCAAGAGTGCCGTCCCCTAAAACCTCCTTTAGAACAGCGTGCTTCATGGCAAGATCATCAGTTCGATCCTGATAGTGGGTAGTGTCCTTTTTCTTTTGCTCCGAACACCTTTCTTCCGTACCAGCCAAGTATTCCAGGTTCCCATCCCTTGCTTTTGCACATACACCGCCTGTGCTATTCCTTTCTGCTCGGACATCCCCCCAACTTGCCAAGCAACCCAAGCCAACCCCTCTACGTCTAAAATCCATATTCCCTCCGCCACCCAGACTGCACATATGAACTGAAATCATCTTCCATACAGCAAAAGGAAAAGAGCCCGCTTAGCTCAGTGGTTCAGAGCGTGCCTGGAGTACCGTCCCCTAAGAATACCTCCTGTATCCCTAGAACAGTATCTCTACACGGCAAGGCCATCAGTTCGAATCTGGTAGCGGGTAGTTACTTTTTTCTTTTGCTATGATATTCGGTTTGTCTTATTTCCAATGCTATCTACTGACGTTACTGACCACGTGAGACACTTATTTGATGTGATGTAACGGCCCTCGTCGCGGGTAAAACTCAGCTCATCAGTGAAAAGCCAAGATTTGTGCTCTATCTGACATAAGTATCCGTCGAGTGGGCAGTGTTTCCCCTTCTCCCTCGTCAAGTACGCAACCGCTACCCTCCCACAACCCATCCACAAACATACCTAGGTCAACATCCCACTATGCTCCTCAATCCACCCCTAAACCGCCACCTGGTCCTTACATTGACGCAGATTCTCCCATCCACCAACAATATCCCCCTTGTCGCCCATTCGGATAGGGGCTATTCCAGAGACATGTCCGCCGAACACAGCAGAGCCTGGCAAAGGCTGTCAAAGCAGCGCGACACATGTCACAGCCGTCAGGTTCGCCCAGGGGCACGTCAGTGCTTTGGGCGAGAAGAGTGGTTGTTCCAGGCTACATGTTCGGGCTTGACGCTAAAGCTGGAGTCGCTGTCGACTCCATCCAAGAGTGAAGCGTACTCTGGCTTCACCGTGTCACTGTCGTCTTTGCGGGCATGCCACGGGAGTAGAGGCATGGCTGATGATGGTAGTGAGTAGGCATATACAGGGAAACAAGGAGCAGTGGCTCTGGGTCAGACACACTTACAAGAAAGTGTGTTTGACTGAGATGTATTCATGCATCAACATTGCTGCTGCTGAGGGTAGCTGGGGCGGGGTTTTGCAAGTTGGCATGACGCGTGGTATGTAGGGGCGACTCGCTACGTCACGCAACATTGAGTATCCTTTGAGAGTTGATTCGCATATCCGCGGCACGCTGGCAACTCACCTTTGGCTTCATGGTCGCGCCTGGATGGCTGTGAACTCGGCGAAGCGAAGTAGACGTACCAGTGTGAGTTAGGGTACGTTCACTTCGATCCGTATCGACATCTCTGGTAAAATCTATGATGGGAATTGAGCTTTATTGACTTGACTGAAGAGAGAATCCGTGATATGACATATATGGGCAGGACTTCCCCTTTATATACGTTTCCTGCCCGTGGATTCGGCCCGATATTCTTCCGTCCATATACCTCTTATTCCTTAGAGTCCTATACTTCCAACACTCCCACTTAAGACCTTAGGAACTATACTCCTACTAAGGTAATACTCCTACTACCTTAATATTCCTTAGTATATGGAAGAGCTCCTACTAGCCCGATATTCCCCCTTAGCTAGTTAGCTCTATTCTATTAACGGTATCGGCGTTAAGCCGAGGGCCTTTCTAAAGGTCTCAAACATAGTCTTCGGTAAAGGCTTCGTTAGGCCGTCGGTAATCATTATCCCTATAGGTACAAAAACAAGCTTAATCTTTCCCGCTTCGACCATCTTACGGACGTAGTATTACTAAATCTCGATATATTTCGACTTCCCGTAGTTTCTAGGATTCTTAGCTAATACGATAGCGCCTTAGTTATCTAAGGTAATAGTAACCGCCTCGGGGGTTTTTATACTATTACTATTATTTATAAGCTTTATAAAGAGCTTCTAAAGCCAAATAGCTTCTTTTATTACTTATGTTTGCCCGACGTATTTTGCCTTATAAGAGGATAGCGTTATAATTTACTACCTCTTCGAGGACCAACTAATCACGCCGCTCCCTACGTCGAAGACGTAGCCTAATATTGATCGCCGAGTATTAGGGTCTCCCCCCTAATCGGTATCTATATATCCGAATAAGGGTTTCAAATTGCCTTTATAATAGAGAGATAAAGTCCGACTACCTTAAAGGTACCGGAAGATACGTTTAACAGCCGAGAAGTATATAGTATCTAAGTTGGAAGCGTAACGGCTTACGTAAGAGACCGCAAAAGCGATATCTAACCTAGTTCCTAATATAAGGTATATTAGTACGCTAACTATAGACTAGTATCTAATACGGTTAAGGGTAAGGTAGATATATTCCGGGTCGTACTTCTTAAGCTTATTATTTACTTCTATTAGAATCTTTATTACGGAGTACTCCGTTATATCGAACTTAGTAAGAATTTTATCGATATAGCCGATCTAATCGAGGTATATAGCTCTCGCCTCCCGGTCCTTATAAATTCGAATACCTAAGTAGTAACTATACTCGCTTAAGTCCGTTATCTTAAAGCGACTACTAAGTAACTTCTTAAGGTTATTGATTTTAGTTATATCCGGGCTAACGAGGAGAAGGTCGTCGATATAGATAACTATAAAGGTCTCGCCGCTTAAGGCGAAAATACCGTTATCGGAGGTGATAGTATTATATCCTAAGGAGGTTAAGAAGTCGGAGAGTGTTTAGAACTATACTCGAGGCGCTTACTTTAATCTATATAAGGCCTTTTGGAGTTTATAAGTTCTATCGTTATAGTTAAGCCTTATAAGTTGTTATACGTAGATATCCTTAGTAACTACGCCGTAAAGGAAAGCGGTCTTAACATCTATCTAATAGATCTTATAATCTATTACCGCTATAATAACGAAGAGCGCCTTATAGCTTATAGGCTTAACTATAAAGGTAAAGGTTTCGAAGTAATCGACTCCCTTAATTTATTTAAAGCCTCGTACCACTTACTTAGCCTTATATCGTAAGATTTCGTTGTTAGCACCTCTCTTAAGTTTAAAGACCCATTTTCCTAATAGAGTATTAGCATTCGAAGGCGCGGGGCTTAGGGTCTAAGTTTCGTTTTCGATTAGTAAATCGTATTCGTCTATTATAACTACTTTCTACTAATCCTACTTAAAGCTAGCCTTAGCTTCGGCAACCGTTAAGGGCTCTTATAAGTCAACGACTTTTATAGCTAAGGCAAAGATTATATTATAGAGGGCGAATAAGTATAGAGGGAACTAGCCGGCTTTACTACGGAGGGGGTACCGTAGCTCCGGGTGACTAAGGACTAGTAGTAATTTTAGTATAATTAAGGACGGGGCTAAGGCTAGCGGTAAAGCTAAGGCTAAGGGCAAAGCTAAGGCTAAGGGTAAGGCTAAGGCTAAGGGTAAGGCTAAGGCTAAGGGTAAGGCTAAGAGCAAAGCTAAGGCTAAGGGTAAGGCTAAGGCTGATTTAAGGATCGATCGTAGTAATATAGCTATAAGTGATAGTATATTATATAATATATTATATAGTATATTGTTATTAATTAGCCCGAAGCGTAAGCGCTTTGGGGCTCGTTTAAGGAGGTTATCTTATTCTTACTTATCAACGGTAATATTAATCACCTATAAAGGTAAGGATATTAGGTATGTTTTCTCGTATTCGAGGTGCTTAAAGAGTTCGTATTCTTATACTTAGGTTTCGGAGTTAACGTAGTTGTTACGAATCGTAGCCCGATCGGCCTCGAAGTAAACGTTTATCGAGTCGAATACTCTTCTATCGGGAGATAAGAGTCTCTAAGTAGTACTACCAACGAAGCTAAGAAGCTTATAGCGAATAAAGGCTTCTAATATTTTCTTATATCCCTAGCTTAGGAGCTTATACTAAACGTATATACCGATCGTTCTAAGGTTTCGAACGTTAAGTCGTTGGTTATATACTATTTCGAACGGGGTCTTAGAGAGAGTACTATAAGGGCCGCGGTTTCGAAGGTAGTTGACTATTTCAAGGACTTTTAACCAATATTTCTAAGGGATCCCTCCGCCGATTAGTACCGGTAGGAGCTTATCGCGGATAATGATATTATAACTCTCTACTATACCGTTCGATTAGTATTATTCTATAGTTAAGTCGATAATAGTAGTACTACGTTTTATAGCTTAGCGGTGGAAAGCCTTAGCATCGAATTCTTAGGCTCTATCGGGGTAGATTAGCCTATATTTCCGGCGCTAAGGCTCGTTAGATTCGAGGTGTAGAATAAAGTATTTAATAAAAGTCTAGTAGTCTACTCGTTATTTGATAGCGAGATTACCGCTAAGTCGGCTATATCCGTCGATTAATATAATCTAGTATTGTTCCCCCTTATAGCCGATAATATAGAAAGGACCGTAGATGTCGATGTATATAACGTCACCGGTATACTCTCTTTAACGGAGTTTACCGTTATAAGGAACCTCTCTTATTCTTCCTCGGATATAAGGTTCGTAGATATAGTAGTATTATACTTCGTCTATTCTATCTACTATATCTTTTATCTTTAGAAAGTTGTTTTCGTTAAGATAACTTATACGTTTATATTATACCCGTATCTTTAGCGAGATAGAGTAAGCGACTAAGGCTTAGATAGCTAT